TGTCCTTGTATTTTTTCTCAGCCCCATCATTTCTGCTGTGATGTGTAGTCTGTTACTTTTTTTCTTGTATATGTTCATGTTTATGTGATAGGAGTGCTATATCATCTGCAAAATCAAGGTCCTCAAGCATGGTGAATGGAGTCCATCGTATCCTTCTCAATGTCCTGTCTACTGTGTTCATTAGTATCCAATCTTTCACAAGGTTGAAGAGGAGAAATGACATAACACATCCCTGTCTTACACCTGTCTTTACTGGGAAAGATGTATTATAATTTTTTATACTGCAGGAAAAGTCTTTATAGAAGAGAGCAGTTATGTTGAATATTTTTTCTGGAATTCCATAATGTCGTAAATTTTTCCAGAGACTGTCTCTATGGACGCTGTAAAAAGCTCTCTCAAAGTCCGCCAAATTATTATATATACTTCTCTGCCATTCATTGCATTGTTCTAAAATGTTACGTAGAGTATAAAGATATGCTCAGAAATTTCTCTGCCCTTTCTGAATCCTGCTTGTTCCACTCGTATGTATTTATCTACTCCTTTTCAAGCCGCATTATGATGATTTTACAAAATATTTTGCTTGGTACAGAGAGTAGAGTAATTCCCCTCCAATTATTGCAGTCTGTTAAGTCTCCTTTTTTGGGGATTTGGACTATTGTTCCTTCAGTCCAGTCATCAGGTAACACTTCTTTTTCCCAAATATCCTTGAACAAAGGTTCTAGAATGCTAGCAGTTTTGTTGGGATCTACTCTGAGAAGTTCTGCTGGCAGTTCGTCTTTGCTTGGTGCTTTGTTGTTCTTTAAAGTGTGGATAGCTTTAAGGATTTGTTGTTTGCTTGGTAAAAAAGTAAAGTAAAGGACCCTTTCCACGCCTTTAGGCGTATAGGGCATATAGGGCTAGACCTATATTTTTATAGACCAACGGCACAAGATGGGTGATGTGGTCAGCATCACGCCGGCCGCCTCTACTTCCCGGGATTGCACCGGTACCCACTCAAGGCTGGGTCGACCTGGGAGCCAAGGTCATTTTTTTTAAAGAAAAGTCCTTCTCCCCCAGGGAGCGAACCCAAGACCTTCCGATCCGCGGCGCGCGTCTAGCCGCTCTGCCACGGCGACTCCCGTTTGCTTGGTAGTTTAATAATAAGGTCAAGGTCCTGAGAGGCTGGTTGAATATCTGGGGGATTTTCAGGATCAGGTCTGTTCAAGAGGTCGGAGAAGTGTTTAGTCCACTGCATGTCTTGTTTTTGTTCTGTGGTGAGCAGTCTGCCTTGGTTATCTCTGATGGGTATGCTGTGATAGTTGTTTCTGTTTATGCAAATTTGCTGGGTAATTTTGTGTAGGGTTTGTAGATCATGTGCTTTAGCAGCATTTTCTGCTAGATGTTCCATAAATCTTCTTTTGTCAGCTCTGGCACTTTTCTTGGTCATTTTATTTAGTTCGCTATATTCTAACATTAGTTTGTCTTTCTGACGTTCTGATTTAGTTTGATTTATGAGGCTCTTTATTCTTTTTCGCTTGGTAACATAGTCCATAGTTTGACTGCTTATCCATTCTTTGTGATGTTGTTTCCTGGTTCCTAATATGTTCTTGCTGGTTGTTTTGTATGTTTCTTTGACCTGGTTCCATCTGTCTTGAATGCTGATTGTAGTTGGAGTGTCTGGGTCACCTGATAGAGTTTGAAATCTATTCTTGAGTTTTAATATACATTTAGTGTAAATGTCTTTTTCTCCTTTAGGCTGACATTGTAGCGTGCTGTCGGTGTATTAGCTTGTGTGTGCACTTTTTTTGAGTTTAAGTCGTAGTAGAGCAACTACAAGGCGATGACCGCTTCTCACGTCTGCTCCCCTTTTGACACACACATCGATTAGGGACCCACGCCATTGATCAGTTTTACATCTCTTCCATTTGGGGATATCCATGTAAGATTGTGTATATTCTTGTGAGGGAAAAGTGTTCCTCCTATAACCAGTCTATTCGCCGTGCAGAAGTCGCTCAGTCTTTCTACGTTGTCATTAATTGTAGCGCATCCTTGATTTCCCATGGATAATTCTCTATTCAAGCTGTTGCTACCAACTTTTGCATTGAGATCTCTCATAATCCATAAAATATCATAGGCTGGTACATTATCTACTACCTGTTGCAATCTCCTAAAGAATGTTTCTGTATCTTCGTCTTTAGCTTCATTAGTCGATGCGTAGCATTGGATAATTGTAAGTTTGGCATTGAATGGTGCTGTCATAATTCTTTCATCATCTTTCACTATGAGATGTTTGTGCATACTTTTCTTTAAAATGAGTGCCACGCCTGCAGAAAGTTGGTTATCATCTCTTCCAGAGTATATTATGGTTTCTCCTGTACCTGTCGTGGATTGTCAAAACCCCGTCCATCTGCTTTTACTAATTCCAAGAATATGCAGTTTATAGTTCTGCATTTCTTCAATTACTTGGGCGGTTTTGGCCGTTTTAAACATGGTTCTTACATTCCAGAAGCCAATTCTTTAATTCGGTTTTGACATCCAGCAGACTTGTTTTCCCATCATGGGCTTCCTTTCGGCTTTCCCCCATGTTGTTCATGTTGACAGAGGGACTCTGTCCCAAGACCGCCGGACGTTTCGAAAACTTACTTCATCTTGAAGTTTCAGTAACGTTGTAGATTTTTTTACAGGGCAGAGCTGTCAACACTGCGCCCAACCCCCGAGCCTGGAGGACCGGAAGGCCATCTTTAGTCTTACAAATGACCTGTCCGGCTTGGGTGACCCTGCCAAGAACATATGTTCCCGCCGGCATAGCTCATTAGATCATTGAGGCTCTCAAGCTCTCTCACCACTACAAGGTCATGACCTCTGGAGGAAGCTTTTAAGGTATACATATTTGCTCATATATTGCTGACTGTTGCGCTAGTTTATATTACGAACAGACACACTAAACATATAGCAGCTTACATAAAGGCATACACCAACACATATGGATGTAAACGATGTTGTAGTATACATGTCCTTTATCTACTTTCTGACAGTGGCACGTAAAAGCAAGAGCCCAAACTTTCCTTTGGAAGGTTGCCATAAAACACGTGTGCTATCGCTGTTGGATGATGGCGTCGATATACCCTGGACGGAGCAGAACGATTTGGTGATACAACTGAATTTCGGATTAACATATATGTTTCTTTTATGGCAAAGATCCACCACAGTGGTTGATCAGCTCAATGCTTACACAGAGACCAGAAATTTCAGGAATTGGTTAAAAATGAATCATTTGGGCCATGATGCTGTATACATGGGCGGGTATGCAACACAGCTGAAAACTAGAAATGTAAGCACAGTTCTTGAATTAAAAATACGTTATGTTGAACATTTGTTTAAAGAAATAAGAGACTCAGAGCATAATACTCTTGTTGGAATTGTCTATCTTGATGGTGCCAGTTTCACATATGAAGAAATAAGAAACTTATCATCCATTGTAGAACAACGAAAAGCAACAGATGTGAAGATATTCGTTGTGATAGTTGGTAATAAACTTGTGAAGGAAATCGTACTTTTGTTTGACACTATAGTGTTTCCCGACATGGAATCAGTGAAATTTGCACAGCATCTGTTAATGGCACTATGTAACTTGTGCAGACACGGCTGGCGTTCCCTTAAACACAAAACCAGCTTAGATAAGCTCTCCTGCTATCAAATCATCTCTGCTCCTTGGCATTTTCCACGGACTAGTAGATCAAAAGAGTGCAGTGGAGCTTTTCACGGTTACCTTGCAGCCATCGAAACTGTTGAAGAGATGAAGTTTCTAAGGAAGCAAGCAAATGACGTGTTTAAAGGACTTTCAAGGCCTGATATCAGCTTCCATATTGGACTTCGCAGAGATGTGAGTGACTATGCAAAACGATTTCAATGGGAGACCACTCCGGGAAGATATCATCCACTGGTAATCAATCACTGGTTGCCAGGTAAACCTTCTAGACCATTCGCCAGTAATGACTGTGCGGTCTGGCGTTTTGAACATAGATGGACACACGTTAACGGCAGCCGCACTTTCGTCTCCAGTGATGGGTGGACAGATGTTTATTGTCAAGAAGAAATATTTTCTACATCAATATGTGAGGTTGCTCTTCCTCGACGGATTACTGATAACATATCAGATCCAATTGCAACTGACACTTTGAAATTTCAAAAAGGGCGTACCCTGAGATATCTAACAAATATTGTCTCCGTCTCTGCAAACGTAGGAAACCCGACGTTTCTTCAATTTCTAAGAGACACTAAGCGAGACTTTCCTATTTTTGACTGTGGGGAAGATGTCGGTGATGGTAGATACATTTCCTATAGCATGGTATGTGACTTGGTTGACCACTGCAGAAATAAACGTGACGAACTGTCTTGTGTGAATCCACGAAAGTTTATGCTAGAAGGGACAGTGTTTTGCACATCCGGACAACGTCTACACAGCTCTGATTACATATGTGACAAAGTAAAAGACTGCAGAGACGGTAGCGACGAGAGTGATTGTATGGGAAAAAATTGTAAAACTTTACTATGTCAGGATGGTTCGTGTCTACCACTGCAATGGATTAATGATGGGCACTTTGACTGTTTTGTTTACGACAATAGCAATACCATCCTGAGTGATGAAAACCCTAATGCAAAAGTATATCAAGAAAAAAACAGGAGTTGTGCGTTAGTATGCAACCGGGACACTTGTATAGATGAGTCGAGACTCAGTGATGGAGTCAAAGACTGTACAGGTTCTGAAGGACCACTAGATGAGACTATAGGGGCACTGGAACCTGCAAGCACTTGTAGAAATGCATTTGGAAATTTTATCTGGGCTCCAAAGTGCAATTATATCAAATACAGATACGGCGGTATCATAGGCTGCAGAGATCTGTCACATCTGAGAGACTGCGAGAACTTCCAGTGTGGTCACGGATATGTGAAATGCTATAACTCGTACTGTATCCCTCGTCATTATCTTCGCGATGGAAAAGCTGATTGTCCTTCAGGAGAAGATGAAAAACTGTTCTTTACTGGTCCGTGTACTGGCAACGTTTTCGCTTGCTGGGACAGCAACCTTTGCCTCCACCCTGACCTAGTTTGTAATGTTCGTCCTGACTGTCCGCATGGTAACGATGAACTTGATTGCCACGAATTCTGTCCTAAAGGTTTCCGTTGTGTGGCAGGGACGGTTATGCCCTCAGATTATAACAGCTCGGTGTTTTCTAAACAAGTTCTAACTAAATTAGACACACGGACCAGATATCTTGACCTCTCAGGAGTAGAAATGGAAACTAATCTTTTTATTCCTTTTTTTTATAATGACATCCCTTTTAATTTGAAAGTCCTTATTATGTCTAAATGCAATATCAAAAGCTTATATATTCCCAAGGGTAACATAAACGGTAACAAACCACCACCATTTATAATACAGAAACTGGATATTAGCTACAATATTTTCGAAACATTTTCAGAACTTGACTACAATTATTATTATAAACACATAAATTATCTAAATTTATCATACAACCTGGAATTGCGGTTGTTGAAAGATTTACGATTCAGTTTACTAGAAATACTTGATCTATCTTTTACAAATATTTCCTACCTAAATGATTCAGTGTTTGCAGCATTGCCTAGACTGATGCATCTCAATTTAAGCCAGACCCTGATTTCCGATTTCAGGGGACTATATTTCGGTTACAAACGTACACTACAAACACTTGACTTACGAGGAATTCCTGCTGAAGATATTCATGACTACTCATTCCATGGCCTTAAGATAAGTCAGGCATTGTATACTGATCATTTTGAGATTTGCTGTCCTAAAACTAAAGGCCTAATCATTGCATCGCACGCATGCATAGCATCTGTCAGTGGAGACGCTATTTCATCATGTTTTAATCTGCTAGGACTTTCAGTTCAGCGATATCTCCTCTGGGTCGTAGCATTACTTGCCGTTCTGGGAAATGTGACGCTAATTGTGTATCGTGTAATCTGGGATAGATCAGTTCTCAAGACAGGATTCGGTCTGTTTGTAACAAACTTGGGAATATCTGACTTTATTATGGGGGTATATCTGTTCATTATTGCCGGGGTTGATTATTTCTTTCGTGACAGTTACGTACTTCATGACAAGACCTGGAGGACCAGTGTTGTCTGCAAGATTGCTGGATTTATGGTGTGTCTTTCCTGTGAAACATCGACGTTCTTTGTTTTTCTCATCACTCTAGACAGGTTTCTGGTAATAAAGTTTCCGTTTGGCCAAAAGAAATTATCTAAGTTAATTAAACTGAGCGCTGTTGTGATGTCTTGGGTGGCAAGTTTCCTTCTAGCACTGGTTCCCATTGTGTTTAGTTTTGAAATATATTCATCCAACGCAATGTGTCTTGGTCTACCATTAACAAACACAAAAGCTAAAGGTTGGATTTACTCAGTTGTCGTTTTTGTTATTTTTAACTTTATAATGTTTCTCTTTACTGCATACGGTCAATACGCGATCTTCCGTGCCATGTCGGAGAATAGAATATCTAAGACAACAGTTAACATACCTCGAAGATATAACAGTAGCCAAACAGTTGTCCCTTGTAGTTCTTTCTAATTTTCTCTTTTGGTTTCCGGTTGGAGTTATGGGACTTATGTCATTAGGGGGTCATGAGGTCAGCAGCGAGGCTTATGGCTGGACAATAGTGCTCCTACTTCCCGTAAACTCCGCTGCAAATCCAATTTTATATACCATTCCGGCCTTAATGGCCAGATGGGAAAGTTTCAAAACTGGCGAATAGAGGATGCTTTAATCCGTATATATAAAAAAAAAATATACTTGATAATAGCTCTTGCTTTCAGTGGCAAAATGGTATAAATATCTTATTGAATGTTTTTTTTTTTTTTTTTAAACGAAGCATTAAGATAAATTGCTTTAAAGAAGTGTTTATGGTTTGTAATACCACATCAGGAGGAAATAAGTAAAATGACAGGTCATTAAGGCATCTTTAACACAAAAGTCAATCATACTGATTGTTCTTCTTCAGCCATCCACCCCACCAAACCTGCCACTTGTCCATACTCCCACCCCAGCCCAGCAGTCTTGGGCTAGCTGTATGAGATTTAAAACAATATGTCCAGTTGATGTATTCGGCCTGAAGACAGCTTTAATTAACAATGTGATTCATTTTTTAGAAGTTTTGTTATGCCCCCGGAGATAATATTATGTATTGGTTGCCTTCCAATTTCAATAAACGACACCAGTGTGTTGAAAACATTGGCTTTCCAATGATGCTGTCGTTCCATTTTCCGATATTCACGTCTTTAAGCTGAGACTGTGAGCGTAGTTAACATAATTGAGTAGGTCTCGAACCATGAGGAGATTGCTTATAGCTTGTAATAATCTTGAAGTTTTAGACAATCGCGGCTATTATGATAGTCTACATTATTCTACAAGCTTGGGAGAATCTACAATAATCTAACGGAGTATGCTTCAAGGCTGCAGGCGTGGATCTTCTACTCACACGAGGATAGCAGGCGTCAAATGCGCCAATATGAAGCCACTCAGTAGTAATGTCAACCCCGGCAGTTACAAAAGCGGCGTAATCGAGTAATTTAAGAAAAAGTGCCTCGCGCACGAACCACACAAGTTTATAAAAAAAAGGGGCCCAAACACAGTGGCTGTTATCACCACATGTTTAGTTTCAGGGACGTTCGTTCATATCAGAAGTATATAACTAGAGAACCTTTTTATAGTTAAAACTAACTGGAAAAAAAAAAACAGAAAAGATGTCACTGGAGCGCTGTCACACGTCACATCCTAATTTGTGTGATACTGTCTGTTTTTGGTACAAATTATTAGTTGATATTTGTAACAAGGTTATTTAGTCCAGAAAAGAAATGCTGGACATCGAAGGGTCTAACTTAAAGGCTGGAGCCAAGGTTTTTACAAAAACACGTCAGGCTCAATCAGAACCTTAACTCACGAGGTTCCGACCGGCAGGCTAGCGTCCAGCCGCTAACCCACGACTGCAAAGACGTCAGACGTTGTACTCGTTCGTATCTGTGCTTGTTTTATTGGCTCAGATAATATTGCCACAATTTGCGCCAAAAGAGCTAATTTCATAGATTTAAATTAAAGGACTGGGTTATCTAATTGCAGAATAGGCGACTAACCATTATTTTTACTAGGTAAATTATGATAAGCTTTAAACAATATCAGAGATTCACGATAACGCATCGGCTAAACGCTTGTCTTTCACGATAATGCACTAGCTAAACGCTTGTCTTTCAGGATAACGTACCGATTAAAAATTAAGGAAGCAATTAAAATGAGAAGGAAGCTGCAGGAGATGTGGTAGCTGCTGCTCGTGAGTCCCAACCATCTAGTTTAGGCCCGCTCTCGGCGGTGACGGTAGTCGCTGGAAGTTCGCAATTTAAGTCGCCGGAAGTGTGTAATTTACATGTGACTGGGGCACTGTTAGGGTATATTTTCGGCCTCGATTATTTGGGACCGTAATTCGGAGGATAGTCTCACTAACTGTAAATCAACTGTGGCTTTCGTCATGTTGTGTAACACACTTTACGAGATCTGTGGACAACTCGAAGATGTGCCACGTCAAGCAACCGAAGGTTCTTGGAGGAAATAATTTTGCGATCCAGTGTACGTTGGTTGCCGCTGGCTATTGTCATACCATAAAGGCGCAGAGTGGCCTTAATGTTGTCGATTAATGTTTTCCGTGGCAGTCCTCTTGCTCTTGTAGCTGATCTTCTGAGATGTGCTGGGGAGGATATTTGATCTTGCTGCATTCTAACGAGACGACCAAACCACTTGAACTGCTGTTTCACTATGAATCTAGTGCAAGGTGTCGTTCCCACAATTTGTGTGATAGTTTCATCACTCACTTGATCTCGGATGGTTTCTTTACTCAGGCACCTCATCTCGCAGGTGGTGATTTTGTGTTTATGGGCTGTAGATAGTGCCCAAGTTTGTCACTGGTAGCTTAATGATGACTGACTGACTGACTGGATGAGGATCACCGTGGAGAGGTCCCAGAAACCACGTTCAGCCAATTGGCCATATTTATGGCCTGGCTATATTGCAGCCTCTGGCCAGAGCTAGGGTGGGGTTTCAAATAACGAAAAATTGCATCCTAAAAAGGACGGCAAATAGATCATAATGATGAATGAATGAATGAATTTCTACCCCACCAGGACATCACACAAGCGATAAACACCCGATGACACAAAGTGCCACCATGCGGATGAGGGTCGCCGTGGAAAGGTCCCAGAAACCGCGTTCAGACATTTGGCCATATTTATGGCCTGCCTATATTGCGGCCCCTGGCAAAAGCCAGAGTGGGGCTTCAAATAACGAAAAATTACGTCCTAAAAAGGACGTATGAGTATAAAAAGTGATCATAATGATGGAATGAATATGCTGTTTATAATCTGTCTCCTTGCACTCATAGTTGGGTTTAGATGTCCTAATTATGGGTGGACATTTGTATATAAGTGCACTTACATTCTGACATCTTATGCTATTAATCTCATTATGTCAGGAAAGGCAATGTACAGAAATGAGTGGTGCCCCGTGTCCTTTGCTTCCTTTCTATCTCCCCTTTTTCCTGTCTTGCATACTTTGTGGTTGTGTCCCCTCCCCTCTGCTGTTTGTTTCTTATGTAAATATTGGATGTGTCTCATAATAATTTTGTATTGCACTGTCATCGATTTTAAAATATTTCTCACAATGTTACATGACAGCCGCAAGGCTGATGTAAATATAATGAGTTACCCTTATGTTCTTGCTGCTCCTCCCTCCTTCACCTCTCGTCCGTCTTCTATGTTTTTGTCTCCCCTCCTTTCCCTTTTGTTTATATGCTCGCAATGTCACGCACACACATGCAACATTAATACTAACACAAAGCAACGCTCTGTATATATACTGCACAAATACACGTACCCCGCAGACGCCTGTACACATAACACGAACAATACAGTTTACAAACAAATTGTTTGTACAGACTGTTTACAGATTAAAAAAAAAACATTTTTAAAAAATAAAGATTCTTCGCATGCAATTCCATTTTTCATGAAACGTTTTATGGGCCGAAGAGAACATTTATCTTGTTCATGCTAAATAGATATAGCTCACTGGTTTTGTTTCAGATGATTATTTTGTAAACAGATCTCATAATCCATCAGTCTATACATGACATCTACCTTCCCCTCTCCGAATATTAAACAACGATGTCTTTTATCAGAAATTTATAATATGCGTTTTTTTTTAATCTACGTTGTCTTTAATTATGTAACAACATTCATAAAATTTTTAAATAGTTTATGTTTTTATTAGAAAATTGATTGTCATATTACTTTATACTTGCTTGATAATTCTTGTACTCATGGCTCTTAACTTTGTATAAATAGATCAGTAAAAACAATTTACAGCATCTGGCATTTCGATAAATGTGTATTATGCATTAGACCTTAACAATATGGATTCTTCAGGAAATATAGAAGCTATTCTAGACAATATAGACTATACAAAAGCATTTGACTGTGTGAAACATGAAGAAGTAATCAACTAATAAAAAAAATTAAACATTTCAGAGCATAAAGAGGGGCGTACGACAAGGATGTGTAATGTCACCTGATGATTTATTTTCACTATACAGTGAATATATAATGAGATCTTTAATTGATATGCCCGGAATTGTGGTTGGTGGGCACAACATAAACAATTTACGTTATGCTGATGACACAGTCTCGATAGCAACCAATCGGAAAGAACTGTAGGAAATGATAGACATTGTGGTAGTACAAAGTGGAAGGCATCAAACCCAGAAATGGCACAAACACTAGAATTCAGTCACGAAAGTGACGCAAATAACCCAGACCACAAATATAGGCGGAGACTGCCAGCAGCCTCGGCTAGCTAGCAGCAGTCACAACGTGGTCGAGCTTTTTTTTTTTTTTTTTTTTCAAAAAGACTTGGACTTGGACAAAGTAGAAGAATGGGCCTCAGTTTGAATAATAGGAAGACAGAAGTAATGGTGGTATCAAAGAAAAAAAATCATTCCTAAATGTGTAATAAAAGTCAATGGTGTAATTTTGGGGCAAATACAGAAATTTAAGTATCTGGGCACATTGGGCACATGGATAACATCAGACTGCAGATGCATTACTAAGATAAGAAACAGAATAGGACAGGCAAAAACTACATTTTATAAAATGAAGATTATCTTGTGCAATATATCCTTGTCATTAAAGGTTAGAAAAAAAAATTCTTGCTTGCTACATAAATCCAATTTTAACATATGGCTGGAAGTCCTGGACAATCGATAGGCAGGCCAAACAATTTCTTGAGGCCTCACAGATGTGGTTTTACAGAAGAATGCTTAGAATTCCTTGGACAGCCAAAAGGAGCAACCAAGAGGTTTTGAAAGAGGCGGGAGCCCAAAGACAACTAATCACAGACATCAGAAGGAGACAGTCATTATTTTTCGGCCATGTTATGAAAAGAGGGAAAATAGAACATGTTGTGACCACTGGAAAAATCTGTGGAAGAAGGGATAGAGGAAGACAACGAGAGAAGATTCTTGACAGTCTTGTTGC